CGTGGTTGTTTCCTGGGCCAGGGGACAGACACTATGGATCTTCTTCAACAACCCACACCTGCAAAATTCCTCAAGCATAGACTCCAGACTCATGAAACGGAGTTTTTCTTTCCATCTCTTGAGAGAGAGGGCCCAAGTGAGAGAGGGGTAGAAACAAAGAGAGAGAGAGAGAGAGAGAGAGAGAAGCGGGGCTCATGTTTTTGTTTTTTACCTGAAGTGGGGCTCGTGCTGACCTGAGGCAGGGCTCGAACCCACGAACCATGAGATCATGACCTGAGCCAAAGTCAGATGCTTAACTGACTGGGCCACCCAGGCGCCCCCACAAGAGGCATGCTCCGTAAAGACACATGTCCAGCTTTAACACCTAGAATTTTAGGGCTCAGTGGTATACTGAGTGGTATACTGCACGGACCTCAACTCAACTGTAGATTTAGATTATTGCTCTGGAATGGAGATGTATAGACTTAGAAAGACATACAAAAAATAACCCAATCTACTGAAGTGCCAGTGTTGCAGTACCTTTCTTTTCTTGAGTTTTATTTGCAATGTTATTAGCAATAAGCTATATTAGTAGTACTGTTTATGGAGTAAAAACCATCCGAACTTTAGTAACGTGTCCATATCAGAAACTATTTTTTATGATACCTTAGCAAGCCGTTTTTACGGTGACATAACAACAGAGATTGCTATCCATCTAGGATTCTTCAACGGCGACCCTGCTCTAATAATAAAGGAAAGTAAAGAACAGGCGTCTGTCCCCGGTGGGCCAGCAGCACCCATACGATGAAATATCAGGCAGCTGATTAAAAGCAAAACCACCCTCGCAGCTCTCCGCATACGAATGAGCAAAATTCTCCAAAGTATATTAAGTGGGGGGAAAGGCACAGAACAGTGTATGTAGTCAGCTATTGTTCATGTAAAAGGGGGAAATATATATATACAATTTGTGGGTAAAAAGGTACATATTCTGAAGAGCATACAAAAGTTGATAATACTCGTTGCTTTCCGGGAGAGGAAATGGGTTTCAGGAAAAGGGACAGTGGTGTCTTCTGTCTTTTTTGAATCTGAACCATTGCTATCACCCAGGCAGAGAGTAAATTTTGTAAAATTAAACCCATTAACCCGTAGTGAATTCTCTAAAGCTAACACAATTTTCTGCATGAATTATACTTCTGTGCGGAGAAAACCCGGCTGCATCAAACCATGCGAGAGAGGGGCTCAAGATAAAGTAGTGGGTCCGTATCCCGACCCACCTTAGTGCTGTTTGACCAGCCCTTTGGTTTCTCAAGTGAGTACTTTCCACATAAGTTTCTACAGGAAAAACTAACATTGTTTCAAGCTTGTAGAACTCTTGTTTTTTCTTCTCTCTGAGCCCAAGTTTCCCATCTGTATGACAAGGGTGCTAGGAGTATGTTTCTCAGACGTTTGTCCCCTCTCATAATTTAACTTTTCCGAAGCTAAGAGCAAGGACAGTCCTGACATCTAGAAGATAAAGGGGCTGTGCAGGTAAAGGCGGAAGTAAGGAGCATCCCTTTGGTATTTCCTTTCTTCCAGTGACTAAAGCACATCAGAAAAAAATCGAGGGCTCCAACGACAGCAACAGCTAACATATTACAAACACTTTCTAGAAGTCAGGCACTGTTCTAAGTGCTTTATGTAAATTAACTCATTTTACCTTTATGACAATCCTATGGTGTAGGGAATATGTCCAATTTTCAGACAGAAAACAGTGTGGTAAAATGGGTAAAAGCACGGACTCTGGAATCTAAGTAATGAAATTTGAATTCCAGCTCTCCTACTTAGTAGCTGTGTGGCCTTGAGCAACTTACTTAAACTCTGTGTCTGTTCCCGCGTTTCTAAAAGGGAGAAGACCGTGGTATGGAAATCTGCACTGTGTTACCAAGTCTCTACCCAAGTTTCACAGCCAAGGAGAAGGGCTGGGCTTTGCACCCATGCAGCCTGGAGAGTCAACTTCCACTTCGCCAAAAGGCCATCCACCACCTGAAGCAGGAACTTAAAAACCTCATGAGCCCCAACCCCCAAATTTCAGAGTTCTTCCCTTGTTAAACAGAAAATGGTTTACAAACTATTATGCTTACATAGCATTGACCCATTAACTTGTCAAATGTAAAGTCAATCGTGATGATATTCCAGTTAAGATTTATCTTTAAAAATTTCTTTTAAAATTTGAAACCTTACTTTAAAGTATACAGTGAAGAGATTTTCCTGCTCATGTAACGTTTATTTATGTTTGAGAGAGAGAGGGAGAGACAGAGTGTGAGCAGGGGAGGGGCAGAGAGAGGGGGAGACACAGGATCCAGAGCAGGCCCCAGACAGAGCCCGATGCGGGGCTCGAACTCACAAATTCAAGTTGGATCTTAACCGACCGAGCACCCCCCGGGTGCCCTTCCTGCTTATCTAAACTGCACTTGGACAACAGTGCAGCAAGGAAGCACCAGGAAATAAACACTCACTTCTGTCCTAGAAGGCAAGTCTGTGGGGCTGAGGCAGGGGGCGGCGGGGCGGCACCATCGCGGGGCCCCGCTGTCCGCCTACCGGCAGCAGAGCGGCAGGGAAACACTGGGAACGCGGGCCGCTCTGTCCAGCGCCCATCACTTTGCTTAGAGCAGAGTTTCAGGTGAACCACATCCTCCTTTGAATTAAACGGTAAGTCCCCAATCCCCGGAGGTACTGCGGAGGTAACTGCGACATGGCTCCCCTTTCCGTTATCAGCTTCCTCCTGCTGCTGGGACAAATCACCACAGACTTAGTGGCATAAGATGACACACTTGTCACCTCAGAGTTCTGTGGGTTAGAAGTCCAAAACCAAAGCGTATGCGGGCTTGTGTTCCTTCTGGAGGCTCCAGCAGAGAACCTGGTTTTTTGGCTCCTGTGGTTCTGGGAGGCTCTCTTCCGTCTTCAAAGATGCGACAGCAGCCAAGCCTTTGCCACAGCGCTGCGGCCAGACATGGCCTCCTCTGTCCCCCTCTGCCCTCTTATCCGACCTCGTGTAATTACAGAGGGCCCACATGATAATCCCGGATAATCTCCCGATTTCAAGGTTAGCTGACTAGTAAACTTAGTTCTGTCTTCATCCTTCATCCCCTCTTGCTGTGTAACAAACACACCCACAGATTCTGCGAAGTGGGACATGGGCATCTTTGGGGGAACCACTATTCTGTCTTCCATACCCTCCTTGGTTCATGTAACTCAGGTTTCATTCGTTCAAAAAGGCCGTTTTACTGAACAGCTGATAGGCTTTGGTAGCCACTGGGGCGCACACCGCAGGACAGAGCCCGTCCTGTCTGTACTTAGCTGACAGTTCAGGAAAGCGAGATGAAGGCAGAGACCGGAAGTAACTTTACGTACTGGTGTAGAGGAATTCCATGAGGTATCTTTGTAGAACATGTAATTATGCGGTGATGACAAATGTTTGCTATGATGACAATGCGGCATAATGGAAAGTTTTGTTGTTGTTGTTGTCTTGGCTTTTTGAAAATCTAAGCTTCATGCCCAGTATGGCACCCCAATGCAGGGGCTCGATCTCAGGACCCTGAGATCAAGACGGGAGCTGAGATCAGGAGCCTGGTGCTTAACCGGCTGAGCCACTTAGCCATCCCGGAAAAAGGTTTTTAAGACAGGGGAGTGAAACCCAAAGGTAAAGTTACTAGACTTCTCTGAGCCTCAGGCTTCTCATCTGTAAAATGGGGATTAAGACATCTATCTCAAAGTGCTGTTTAAGAATTAAGAAGGGGGGCGCCTGGGTGGCTCAGTGGGTTAAGCTTCCGACTTCGGCTCAGGTCATGACCTCACAGTTCGTGGGTTGGAGCCCCACATCGGGCTCTGTGCTGACGGCTCGGAGCCTGGAGCCTGTTTCGGATTCTGTGTCTCCCTCTCTCTCTGCCCCCTCCCTGCTCACGCTGTCTGTCTCTTTCAGAAATAAATAAGACATTTAAAAAATTAAAAAAAAAAAGAGTTAAGAAGGAACACGCGTTCTCCACATAAGGGATTCCACAAATGCGCACTCTTCCCCCCCTCGGGTTTTAAGTATCTAACGTTCTTTCAACATTTCCATGACTCCCATTATAAAATACAAAAGAAGTGTTAGGCATCGTCCCTACCATCAAATTTAAAATGTTGGTGGCGTAAGGCCTTTGCATGTGTGACACAGTTAGAGAAAGATCAAAGTACACCTGAGGGGCTCCGTACCCTTCCGTACCTGAGCTGGGGCTGAAGACGGGTTAGGAAAGCCCAGAACACGGCGAGGGAATCAGAGCTGTTCCTCTTACCTCAGCACGACGGAGCACGCAAACCGAACCCGATCCACAGACCCAAGCGTGCTAAGGGGGAAGCCTAGCAGAGCGCTTTCACAGCGGTCCACACCCGGGGGGCGAAGGGAGCCCAGGGAGATCCGTCCCGCCATCCATTCTGCTCTACCCTCCGGAGGAGACGAACAACTACCAGAAGTAGGCAAACGTTGGGTTTTGAAAGCCAGCCCATAGTTCCCCCGAATGCAATCGTCGGGGACAAGTAAATGGGGGGGGGGGGCAGAGTTCTGAAAGGTGCGTCAGGCCTCGCTCGGCCCGGTTTCATTCAAGACGCGGCGGACAGCACGCCCGCTGCCCGCGCCGGTCCCGCTTCACGCGTTCTCGCCCCGCGCAGACGCCGCCTCCGAAGGCCGACCGGGAGGCGGCCCGCTGCTCTCCACGCCCAGGCTGCCCTTTCTCCTCCATAACGAAGAAAAACTACTTTCTGAAGGACACGGCAGCCGGGGGGATCGAGTCGGGCGCTGAACTACAGGGACGCGGTTTCTTCCCCCCCCCCCCCCCCGCCATGAGGCTGCATCACCCACCCGGGGGCGAAGCCAAACAGCGCCCCGGAACCTGAGGCGTGCGCACGGCGCCGCGCACCCCAGCAGTCCGGGCGGGCTTGAGAACACAGAGGGAGCCAGGCGGCCGCGGCGCGGCTCTCCCCCCGGCCCTCCCGGCCCCGCTGCCTACCTCGCGGGGGCTCCAGCCCCGGCGCCGGCTCCTTCCCGCCCGCGCGGCGCCCCGGCCCCCAGCCGACGCCGCACTGCACGCCGCGCGCCTCCCGCCGCCGGCCGGCGAGCTCGGGCCGCTCGGCAGGAAGCGGCGCAGCGCGCAGCCGCCGCGGCCTCCACCCGCCGGCCGGCGGAGGGGAGCTGGGCCGCCCCGGACGCGCCCACCGGGGCCCGGCGGCGGCCGGCGGAGACGAGCCCGGGCGGCGCGGCGCGGCGGCCGGGGAGGTGAGTCGTCCCGGGCCTCTGCCCGCCCCTCGGGTGGCCGCGGCCCTCCCCGCGGCCGCGCCGCCGCGCCGCCCGCGCCCCCCCGCCCCGCGCCCGCCGCGGCGCGAATGGAACGGTCCGGCGGGGGGGATTGTGGGAGGCGCACGCGCGAGGGGCGGAGGGCATGTGGGGGGGCGGAGGAGGAGGCGGCGGCGGCGGCGGCGGCCGTGGCGGCTGTTGGTGGCCGTGGGGGCGGGGAAGGGGGGGGAGGAAAGAAGAGGCGGTGGAGGAGGAGGCCGGGGCTCGCGCTGCCGAAGGTACGCGTGAGGGCCCCCGCCCGACAGTCCTGACAGGGGCCGAGGGGGAGCGGGGGGCCGAGCGAGCGGGCGCCCCCGAGCGAGCGCCGACGGGCCGGCGGGCGCGCCAGGCGGCCGAAGGCGGGGGTTGGTGGCAGAGCGAGCGAAGAGCCCGGAGCCTGTCCGGCGCGTGCGGGCGGGCGTGCGCGCGCCGCCGCCCGAGTCGGGGGCGGGAGGGGGCGGGAGGGGGCCGCGGGGTGGAGGTGGGGGGGCACGAGGCGCCCTTCGCTCGCGCCCGCCCTCTCTCCCGAGCAGCCGCCGCCGCCGCCGCCGCTCTGCCGCCGCCGCTCCCGCCGCCATTTTGGGTTCGCTTTGCGGAGGGGGAGACGATCCCCGTCTCGGTTGCGGGACCGCCTCCCCTCGGTGGCCCCCGCTCGGCCCCACGCCTTTCCCTTCTCCTCTCTCGCGTTTCCGCCCGTCCGCTCCCCTGCCGGCCGCCTCCTGACAGGCGGCAGGAACCCGCCGCGGAGCCGGGGAAGCGGAGGAGCCTGCTGGCGGCCGCCCCCCTTCCCCACTTCCCTGCACTCTCATCTCGCTCGGCCTCGGCCTCTGACACGGTGAGCACAGCCGCCCGCGGAGGCCTCGGGCCTAAGTGCTCGCGGAGCGGCGCGGTCCCCGGCGGCCCGGGAGCCACTGTCACCTCCCGGACCTGGACCTCCGGGAGAGCGGCGGGCGGGGTGGGGGAGGGGCGCGAGGCAGGGGATCCTGAGCGAACCGGGAAGTCCCTCCCGGCGGGGGCGGGGTGGGGGGGGAAGGGGTGTCCCTGCCGGGCGGGCTCGGGGCCTGGGGGAGGGGGCGGGAAAGTCGGCGCGGGGAGGCGGAGCCGGCTGCGCCCCTGACAGGTTCGTTGGCGCGTCGGGGAGGCGCGACGGGAGCATCCCCCGCCGTCGGGTCGGCGTCCGCGGCGGGAGAGGGGCTCTGCGGAGGGCCCCCGGCGGGCCGGGTGGGGGCCGCGGCGCCCCTGACGCGGCGGCCGTGCGTGGGAACGACCGGGAGACCTCCGGGCCGTAAGTTTGAGGACGGCGCCCGGCTAGTTGGCGCAGGGTCCGGGAGGCAGGTGGTGCGCCGGGCGCCGCGGCCGGGGCGGGTGTGTGTGCAGGGCGGGAGCGTGTTCCGGGAGCCCCTGCTTGTGCTCGTGGAGGGTCACGGAGTTCCCCTTCAAGTCACCTTATTTTTAAAATGAAATTTGGGGTGTCCCCGTCGGGCGGATGTGCGTGCATGTGTTAGAAATTGGGGGCGCGCCGGAGCTTGGGAAGAAGTCGCGCTGGGGTCTCACACGGCACAGCGCGTGTGCGTGGGGTCGGGGATGGGGCGGACCTGCCGGGGCCCCTGTGCCCGGAGGAGTCGTTTGTTCGGGTAGAGGGGACGGTGTACGCGCGGACGCCGGAGTGTCTGTGACGGAGCAGCTGCTGCGAGGGTACGAAGAAGGGGTGGCCTTTTTGTTGGCCCGAGTTTATAGTAACACTTAGCGTGGAATAAAGCTTTTCTGGTTTTCACGGTACTTTTTCTGTTTCTTTGGGATCCTGCACCTCGGTGAAGATGGCAGAGTAGGTGTTTTCTCCCATCGTGTAAAGTAGGAAGTCAAGGCAGCAAGGATCCTCTTCCAAGGTCACGGTTTCACGTGGTGACCAAGATGGGACTGTAGCTCCAGGGCCGTGCCTGCTTCTCCAGGGGTGCGTCAGGTCCGGGGGCCCAGGCCCCGCGTCCTGGGGAGCCGGGGTCTGCACCAAGCGCGTGAGCTCGCTTGCCGCGGGGAGGGCTGTTTGCACTGCGCATCCGTGACTGTGACTTTTGCTGATGGAGGAAGCAGAGCGTTTCTGAAGCTTCAGCTTGTGTATTTGAGGGAGGGTCGTCGTTCGTGGCCTAAACTTGTGCAGGACTAGCTGCAGGGGGTCTGGCAGCGTAATTGTAAATCTGCGAGGTAAGCCCTTCCTTCCTTCCTTCCTCCCTCCCTCCCTTCGGCAGGTATGTATTGAGTACTTAATAAATGGTCTCTGCCTTGGGGTGGGGCTAAAAGTGACCCTGTTAAAACAGCCTGGGTGCGTGTGGGAGGACTTGCCTTGACAGTGGTAGGTGTTTAAGTCCAGCCAGGCAGACCAGGCTGCGGAGTTGAAACCAAAAACCTTCTTAAACAGTCTGTTCAGTTTGGAGGGAAGTTAGACCTCCCAGACGCTTTCAGATGGAAGCATACAACCTGAAAGGGGGGGAAGCTTGTGATGCAGTGTAGCTTGTTTGGGATTTTGTCTCGGCGGTTATGAATTCACTGTTTTGGGGATCCTAGAAGTGTTGCTATACGTGCCTGTGGGTTTTGGAACTTTTTGGCGGGGTTGGAGGAGGTCTTCCAAACGCTGATGTTGCGGTAAGGATCCCCTCAGTGAATACGAGGGAAAAATACTTGAGCCTAAGCGAGCTTGACTCTGTATGTCTGGAAAGCAGAATGCTTCTGATTCGCTAGATGAGTAGGTCTTAAAAGTTTTTTGGGGTCATTTGTCCTTCTGAGAATTTGATGAAAGACCCTTATTGAGCATAAGTGCAATTACACCTATTATGCACACAATTTCAGGAACTTAAATTGTGATGAAGTAGAACCTTTTTAATATTTAGGTCTCATTTGAAGCCCTTTTAAAATAGAGCTTTGTTTGGAGATGAGGTCGTTGCTATGAGTTTAAGGTGAAAGATTACGACAGTTTTTGAGCATAAAAAACTCAAAAACTTACTTTCTCATGGAAGTAAGGAGAACTTTAAGGTCATGTCTTTTATTTTTATTTTATTCTTTATTATTTACAAACTCATCTTTGCGGTACTAATGACTCTGAATTAGGTGGTAAGAAAATATTATATTGCATGAATGTATATAGCTTGATTTTTTTCATTATATTTATTCTTAAGCTCCTCTCTTCCCAATTTTGCATTGGGACTGAGGCTTTAGAAACTCATTCCTTGGAGTTTATCTTACTTACAACAAACATTGACTTAATTCTATGTAGGAGACACAAAGATGAGGAAATGTGGTCTCAGTCTTTCAAGAGATTCTAGTGCAGTTGAAGCTAAGGATGGTGTAATGGTGGCAGCTTTCAAAAGGGCAGGGAGGAGGGAAGAATGTTCCCAGAATTTGAGGATTCATGACTTAATTGCAGAGGTTTTGCCATTACTAATTCTTAGGAAGCTCTGTCTTCCTGCTGTCTATGTGACTCTGTAGCTGTTGAGTGCGTTTGGGTATCATCTGATGTTCTTGACTGAAGGCGCTCTGCTTTGAAAACCAGGTATACTTTGGTTGTATTCCTTATCTTGTTTTCGATGTATTTTGTAGTGAGTTTGTAACAAAGATCTTAATGTCATGTTTGGGTATAACGCATCCAGAAAACACTTCTGGGGAAAAAATGCATTTGATCTTAGGCAAAAGGCCAAGAAGCTTCTGGGGTAAAATGTAGTAGCTATTTGATAGACTACCCATGAATCTAGTATTGGAAATTTAAAATAATTATTGAATTTTTAAATAATGTTTTTAATGTTTGTTTATTTTTGAGAGAGAGAGACAGAGTGTAGACAGGGGAGGAGCAGACAGAGAAGGAGACACAGAATGTGAAGCAGCTCCAGGCTCCAAACTGCAGCACAGAGCCTGATGTGGGACTCGAATTCACGGAACATGAGATCATGACCTGAGCCAAATTTGGACACTTAACCCACTGAGGCACCCAGAGCCCACCCCTGCTTTTTTTTTTTTAATACTGAATTTTTAAAAGAACCAGAAATTCAGAGAGTGTTTGGATAGCACAGATCACAGGCCTTGGTAAAGTAAGGAAAGGTCTGAGGAAAAGTGGCTTGATTATCCCCTCTTCTTTGTCATGGCCTGTGTGTCATGTAAACTTGTGAAGAGTTTAATATTTTCTCTAATTTTTAACTTGGGTAGTAGATTGTGGCTTTTAAAATAACGTTACATAGGTGTGTGTCTTGTATCTGTGCATATAGATAAATATTTAGTCTTATGTATGAGATACTTTGTAACTTAAAAAATAATGTTTGTGATAATTGCAGATTATTCAGGATCTTTAAGAATCAAGAAATGAAAGCAGTCTTCACGTCATATTCTTGAGTTAAGTTCTAGAATATGGAGCATAACTTCTCTGTGTCTTGCTGAGCACTGTGTCTTCACAGCCCTCACAGTACCATTTGAGATTTTTTTCTGTTGTCTTCCCTACCTTACAAAGAAAGAAGTGGCCGTGTTCGGTCCTGCCAGCACGATCTGGCTGTGGAGAAGCGTTACTGTACGAGTAGGTGACGCATCTCTGGTTAAAAATGTCATATGGCGGGGCGCCTGGGTGGCTTAGTCGGTTAAGCGTCCGACTTTCGCCTAGGTCATGATCTCGCGGTTCGTGGGTTCGAGCCCCGCGTCGGGCTCTGTGCTGACTGCCAGCTCGGAGCCTGGAGCCTGTTTCAGTCTGTGACTCCCTCTCTCTCTGACCCTCCCCTGCTCACGCTGTTTCTCTCTCTCCTAGAAATAAATAAAAAAATATTAAAAAAAAAAAAAGTCATATGGCTGTTTGAGTTATGTGTGTTGGCCTGAGACTTGTAAAGGCTACGGTATACAGTCTTGCTGGTGTCCGCTGTGACATCCACTTTGTGCCAGCCTTTCCAGAAGCATGACATCTCTCTTTTTTAATGTTTGCTTATTTTTGAGAGAAAGATGGCGCACGAGTGGGGGAGGGGCAGACAGAGAGAGGGAGACACGGAATCTGAAGCAGCTCCAGGCCCTGAGCTGTAGCACAGAGTCCGACACAGGACTCGAACTCACAAATCATGAGATCATGACCTGAGCCGAAGTTGGAAGCTTAACCAACTGAGCCACCCAGGTGCCCTGGTTTATTTTTTAAATGTGGGAAATTTCAAATATAACACAAATGAAGACCATAGTGTAGTAAGTCCTTATGTACTCAGCATCCAGCCTCAGCAGTCATCTGCACCCAGCACACTGTCCCCATCTTGGCCTCTCTGCCTCCTCCCCCACTTTGCTTATTTTGAAACAAATCTTTCAGATATATCATTCCGTTCATAAATACTTCAGTGTATGCATTCTCTTTACACTTAAATGGGCAATTATTTCTCCCTAGTTAGGTTTATATAACTTTTTAAATAAAAGTATCTGATTGATAAGTGGAATTAAACTACTTCTAATGTATTTCACTTATCAATAGGGATTCCTTCTGCAAACTTTAAGAAATGAACAGCGTAGAATTCACCTCACTGCTTTTTAGATGTTTGCCTTGAAAAATCCAGAGTTTGTGTTTGCCTGAAAAGCTTGTTAGCTTTTTTCTAATGTACAAAGTGAGAAGTAATGTGTCTCTTATAGTCTTTTTTTTTTTTAAAGTCATAGTGACAAGATGCTAGAAACATTTTTGTGTTCTTTTTGTTCATGATGTTCTAACTGGACCCAATTACTGCAAAGAAATCGAATGGTAACAGATTGGATGGTGAAAGGAGCTGGAATTGGTCTAAAATCAATTTAAAGAGTATGAAATAACATTGCTTTGAATTTTGAAATTCTAATTGTGGGCATTTG